CACCCGCCACAATACCCGGCTGTTTTTTGGTTGCAGCCATCATTGTTGTTTGGCGGGCCCGGGCTGGATTCGAACCTGCCACCTTATGTGTATGTGGCTGGCACCTTAGCCGCTTGAGCCACAGGTGCCAAGCCAGGGCTTTGTCTTCTTATTTTAAAAAACTTTTTTTTTTTTTTTTGCAGTTTTTGGCCGAGGCTAGAGTTTGAACCCACCACCTCTGGCATATGGGGCTGGCGCCTTACTCCCTTGAGCCACAGGCACCGCCCTAAAAAAACTTAATTCCTTATTATCATTATTCCAGTGAAATCTTTTCAGCTTCACTGGCAGTAGTGTTAACGTTACCCAGAAGCCCTGAGGAAGTGTTCCATTTCCCTTCCACACTATGTTCACACCAACACAGACATGTCCCTGTGATCGGATTCTACGTCCAGTCTGCTGCTGACAAGACCCCCAAGGTAAGGGGCACTTACAGGAATAATCTCCCCTGGGTTAGGAATTGAATTGCTTGAGCCTACAGCTCCTCAAAGTCAACATAAACTGAAATTGAATTGGCACATAGACAAATTTCACTTCCTCTTTGACATACTAGGTAATTAATTCACATCAATCAACATATAAATGACCACTATAAGCAAAATGCTGAGCTGAGTGCTGTGGGAAAAACAGACGTTCCCTTCCTCAAAGAAATGTACTGGAGTAGCTGGATAACTGAGACATTATTTGGGAGAAGAGTTGGCAGGACAAGGCATTAGTTGGTTAGGTACCTGCCCCCTGGGCCAGGCTTGCTGAATACCAAGGCCGAGTTTAAGGAAAGTTCCGTGGAGAATATCTGCACAGAGGCTATGTTAACTTGACCACAAGGGCATGTTCTGTCATTAAAAGACTTCATTTGGGTAGGATGCTACAAAGTCATGGGCTGTAATCTTCTCAGTGCTAATCTCGGGGGCCTGAAATAGGACTGCCGCTGTGTGGGTGAGCACTTAGCACCCTGCAGTGTGCAGAAGTGCCTGACCACAGAAGGTCAAGGTCGAGGAGGGGCTGAAATGCAGCCTGAGCTTTGCTGCCTTTGCACCTTTGCCATTTCTGCCCAAAGCTAGAGGTACCTTATCTCTGCCAGGGGCGCCTTTTTCTGAGTGGTTCTGAGCAGGAGTGGTTCTGTGTATGTAAAGGACAGCTGGGACTCTCTCCGCCTCTAAGTCTCAATCTGACCTTGCATAAAATTCACCAGGTATTTGAATGAATTTTAAGAGGGATAATTGAAGTTCCGCACATACTCTCCCTGTTCAGAGATGGCATCTTAGGTAGGCTCCTGCCTGATGGTTTTAAAGAATAGAGGTGGTGGGAGGTGGGGTAGAGAAAAAAGGCAAAAACACGCTCTAAGACCCTTAACTGTTCTAAAATTCTTTGATTTCATAAAGGAAACTTGACACCAAGTTTAACAAAGCCTAATTATTTTAAACCAAAGCAACATTTTCCTAAGAGCATCTGAGGGCCTTCCGTATACTTTTTGTCATTCGTTAGTAGCCTGAGCCCTTCTGTCCTATAAGACTTAAGTGTTTTAAATCCTTTGATAAAAACTGAAGAAATGCAAGATTGGGCCTCAGGTGTTTGCCTACTTAGGAAAAAGAAATGCTTACTACAAAATGAGAGTGTTGACCACATAGGGCCATTAGTTAGATCACTTGGCTGGGTCGGGACTTCTCGTGGTTGGCTGCAAACGTCAGAGGCTGTGAAAAGTGGTAAGCAAATAACCACAGAGCTGAGGTTGAGCAGTAACATTTCCTGCCTGAGCGCTCGTATGTGGGTAAAAATACCAGATAGAGGGTAAATCAGGACTAAAAGTAGTCAATCTTGTCATAGCAATACCGTCTTACTGGGACTGCCAGCCCCAGTAAGTCTTCAGAAGTAAGTTTTGTGGGGGTTTTGCTGCCCAGGCTGACAGCGACGAAGGTCTGAGCCAGGTGTAACATTTGTATTCTCCTTTTAGCCTCCCTTCCTCTCCCATGCCCCACACTAGCAATGGTTCCCCCTGTTTCTCTGAAGGCTGCAGCTGCCGACCAACAAGCTGCTTCTGCGTCCGCCACACCAGCTGTCCTGCTTTCAACATGCAAACCTTTTTTTTTTTTTTTTGAGACAGTCTTACTCTGTCTCAGAAGTAGAGTAGAGTGCTGTGGTGTCATCATAGCTCACGGCAACCTCAGTCTCTTGGACTCGAGATCCTCCTGCCCATGCCTCTCCAGTAGCCAAGACTAAAGGTGCCTGCCTGGCTAGTTTTTCTATTTTTAATAGAGATGAGGTCTCACACTTCTTCAGGCTGATCTCAAAGTTTTGTGGTCAAGGGATCCACCTACCTTGACCTCCCAGAGTGCTAGGATTACAGGTGTGAGCCACCACACCTGCCCTTGCAAACCCTCCTACCCATCTTCCCTTTGACTCCTCACCTCTTTCTCTGTGACTAGGGCAGACCTAGTTTTTCTGAAGCCTTCATCATGACTGTATTCCAGCACTTCCCCTAGACCTCTGGTTAGGATAAAGATGAATAGCATTCCTGCACCAGTGGGGAGGTCTCGCACTAAAGAGTCAGGGTGACAAATACATGGGCAGGTGATTGGGAAGCGGGGAGGGGAGAGAGAGAACATCATGGTCTTACAGATGGACAGAAGTGAGTTTGAATTCCAACTAAGGTAGACGCTAGCTCTGCGAACTTGGGCAAGATATCCAGTGAGAGCGTGAGATTCCTCATCTGTAAAATGAGGGTAATGATTCCTACCTAGCTTAAGGTGGTTGTAAAATTATATACTGTGAATTGCTTAGGGAAGTGCTTGGTTAAAACAACAACCATCCTAAGTGGGACCCACGTAACTACAACAAAAGGTGATAAGTGACATAAGAGAAGTACAAACAAAGGGGGTGGGGGTTCCCAGCAGGACGGCGCACACCTGTGGGAGGCCACACGTGAACAGGCGCCTGGGTTCAAGGGCCCTCCCAGCCTCCAGGTGATCTGCTGCCCCAGCACAGCCTGGCAGAGCAGAGCTGGACAGCACAGGGCCTGCAGGCTCAGACCAGGAGCCAGCAAGTCCCCACACAGCTGACATTTACAAGAGAAGCAGGACCTGCAGCTACGATCCTTGAGGCACCAGGCTAGAAGTTAGGATGGAGACTGGGAAAGTGCCCAGCCGTGAAAGTTGACTGGCCTGTCAGTGGGGACTGAACATCATTCCACTCTTCAGAATTCAGGGTGGCTTCATTTTGCCTTCCACTTCCCTCTGGATGTCTAAGGTGAAGCGTTTTTCTTTCTTCTCCAGCTCAGAGGCTGAGAATGGTGTGGAGGAGAAAAAGAAAGTCTGCAGGTCGCCAACAGCCCAGTCTCCTACCCCATCCGTGGAGGCTGAGTCCCCAGACCAGAAGAGAATCATTTCCCTGCGGTGAGTGCTCAGTTGACTTCTTTGTCCTCTTTTGCCCCTTGGGAGGGAGGGCTTAACAGATATTTCTAGTTTTATGGTCATTGTTGAGACGAACATCTACTATAGACAGACAGTGTCCCTGAGAAAGAGCAAGAGCCTTCCCTGGATACCCAGGAGCCTTGTCCTCGCAGCATCTCTTTCTCTCTAGCCCCCACCGTCTGTAGACACCTGCTTTTTTCCGAAAGCACTGACTTTGCTAACCAGTGAAGCCAGATGGCCTGGTATCAGGTGTGGATTCATAGCATACCAGGGAAGGCTGGCCAGGATGGAGTGTCTGCCCAGCCTCTGGGTGTGCTCACCTGGGTCTCACTTTCTCATTCTCCATGTCGGCCTGGCAGAGAGGGCGGGGAGCTGGTTTGGTCCTGGAGCAGGAGGGGAGAGGTGTTTTTGAGGCGTGTAGCTCTAGGCCCCGTCACTCTCAGAGGCCCTAACTACTAGAGACTTTAAGTTGTTTTTTGGCCCTTAAAAGGGAAAGATTAAACCAACGGTCAGTGATGGGAAGATGTGATTTTTAATCTGTACTGAGTAGAGGAATTGTTGTCCACCCCCATGGTTAGAACTGCTTCCTTCTACTTCTTTGGGCCCCTGCTCAGGGATGAGTCATTAACTCTTGCTTCTCGCTTCCTTCCTGGCTCCCCAGCCCATGTCTTCTCTCCAAACCTATGCTTTATTCAAGACCAAGCGTAAGTCTGAAACTCTTCCCCGACTTTTCCCTCTCTGATTCTGATCCCCAAGCTCTGTCTCCATCTTTTCTGCATGCCTGTTCTGTGGCATCTCACTTCAGCTGTTACTTCTGGAGTTGTTTCCTGTCGGAGCAGTGGGCCGCACTCACCAACGAGTCTCCTCACCACAGCACAGAGCATGCTCTTTCTTCTACCTTTCAGCACTGTTGACCAGCTACAGCAGCTACTTTTAAAAAACACTGTTGATTTTACTCCACCTTCCCCAGACAGCAGTGAAAAGCATATCCTCATCAGCAGGGCACGTGGGCTATGCTGCCCGGGAGTGTGCTCTGCGCAGTTGCAAACCCCATGCTTGGTTTAATGCTCTTCCTTCACTTCCCTCCCTGTCTGGAAATTCTTTGTATTTTCGTATAAGGGGCTCCAGATCTTCACTCTGCACTGGGCTTCTGGTCCTGCTTATGGTCACCTGTAGAAAGTAATTGTAATATGCATGAGAAACCCACAGAAATCAATACCGTGTGAATAAGCCCCCCATCTACAGTGAGTAAGCCATCCCTCCAGCCCCCAGACAGCAGAGATTACCAGGGATAGATAGAGCTCCCTTGCCCTCACACTTGCCTGCAGGCAGTCATGGTGCTTTTTTGTTTGTTTTTTTTAATAGCAGATTGATAATAGGAGTACAAACAATTAGGTTCCATTATTTGCATTTATTAGGTTAAGTTCAAGATGCAGTTGAGCCCTTCACCCAGGATATACCCCTACATTGTGCACTATAGGTGGGAGCTTACCAAACCTCCTTCCTCCACCCCTCTCACCCCTCACAGGCCATAATTCTTCAAAAGGTCTGATTTTTTTTTTTTTTTTTTTTTTGACAGAG